ACGCTGATTGGACGTTCGTTTGGTGAACGGCTCCAAATTTTCTTTAACGGAGAGTCTCCAGACTGATCTGCGAGTAAAATCTTGAAATCTCTCGAGATCAGGATGGTCTCACGAGGCTAATTTGTTTACTCTTAAATACGGTAATTAGAAAATATGCACTTGAAATAAGACAATGCAATTGTTTTATTCTTATTTTAAATGTAAATTGTCTCGTTCCATTGGCAAAGTCTCTCACCTTCCTCCTCAATTCAAGAAAAAAATCACTTATTTTAAGAGAAAATTAATTATTTAGATTTACATTTTTTGCAGTGTACTCATTCCATTGGCAAACTTTCTCATTTAATGACTCAAATTAAGGGTAAATACACTTAATTGAACAAAAAGTTTACTTATTTCTAGATTATTTTTCCAGTGCAAATCTTCCTTCATACACTGCTAAAAATTTTAATCTAAATAAAAATTTTTTTTCTTTTTAAATAAGTGCATTTGTTCTTGAACTGAGGAGGTAAGTGAGACAGTTTGCTAATGGAACAAGACAATTTAAGAGTAAATATACTCATTCCATTGGCAGACTATCTAGTTTACCTACTAAAATTGAGAGTAAATACACTTAATTCTAGAAAATCTTTCTAGATAATTTTTCAACACTGCAAAAACGATACGTTATACGTAAAAATTTATTAAATTAAGTGAATTTACTCTTAATTTGAGAGGGAAAATAGGTTGATTTGCCAATGGAATGAGTATTTTTACTCTTATAATAAGTTAATTAGATAATATGCACTTGAAATAAGACAATGCACTTCTTTTTTCTTATTTAAAGTGTAAATTGTCTTGTTTTATTGGCAAAATGTCTTACTTATCCCCTTAATTGAAGAGAAAATGCACTTATTTGAAGAAAAAAAATGACTTTATTGGATTTACATTTTTTGCAGTGCAGTGTAATAAACTATTCCTTACACTGGAAAAATGATCTAGAAATATGTAAAAAAAAATTCTTAAATTAAGTGTATTTACCCTTAATTTCAGTGGGTGAATAAGAGGATTTGTCAATGGAATGAGTATTTTTACTTTTAAAATAAGATAATTNAAAAAAAATTCTTAAATTAAGTGTATTTACCCTTAATTTCAGTGGGTGAATAAGAGGATTTGTCAATGGAATGAGTATTTTTACTTTTAAAATAAGATAATTAGATAAAATGCACCTGAAATAAGACAATGCTATTTTTTTTTTCTTATTTTAATGGTAAATTGTCTTGTTCCGTTGGCAAAATGTTTCTCTTACCTCCTTAATCCAAGAACAAATGCACTTATTTTAAGAAAAAACTACTTATCTAGATTTTGATTTTATCAAGTGTTGGCAAGCTATCTCATTTACCAACTCAAATTAAGGGTAAATACGCTTAATTGAACAAAAAGTTTACTTATTTCTAGATTATTTTTCCAGTGCAAATCTTCATTCATACACTGCTAAAAATTTTAATCTAAATAAACATTATTTTTCTTTAAATAAGTGCATTTGTTCTTGAATTGAGGAGGTAAGTGAGACAGTTTGCTAATGGAACAAGACAATTTAAGACTAAATATACTCATTCCATTGGCAGACTATCTAGTTTACCTACTGAAATTGAGAGTAAATAAACTTAATTCTAGAAAATCTTTCTAGATAATTTTTCCACACTGCAAAAACGATCTACAAATAAGTAAAAATATATTAAATTAAGTGAATTTACTGTTAATTTGAGAGGGAAAATAGGGTGATTTGCCAATGGAATGAGTATTTTTACTTTTAAAATAAGTTAATTAGATAAAATGCACTTGAAATAAGAAAATGTAATTGTGTTTTCTTATTTTAATTGTAAATTGTCTTGTTCCATTGGCAAAATGTATCCTTTACCTCCTCAATCCAAAAACAAATGCACTTATTTTAGGAGAAAATGAATTATAAAGATTTAGATTTTTTCCAGTGTACTATCCTCACATTGAAACATGGTGGTAGTTGCATCATGCTGTGGGGATAGCTTTCTTTATTTGCTCTAATTGTGTCTCGTCAGGACTGGATAATTCCTTCAGCTCAGAACGTGGTTTCAAATGATTTGCATTGCAGAGTTTATCACATGGTGACAAGGGAAGTTTAGGTGGACTGTAGTCGGCTGAGTAACAGAGAAACGTTTGGGGAATGAGACTGAAAGCAGCAACTGGGATAAAAGCTGCTCCAGATTTCTAAAGCTTTGCACTGAAGCTCCTCCGACAAACACGATGGGACCTGACATCTGGGACTGTGCAGAGCTTTTCAAATCTGGCCAAAAAACTGCAAAAACAATGAAATAATAAAATCAAAAAATAAAATACATGACTTTGTACAACTTACTTTCAAATGTGACCCTCCTTCCTTCTGAAAGGTGTGTAAAAGAGGATAGTAAAAGCTGTGTGAATAATTCTTCCAAACGTTGGTATTAGCTTTTAATCATGCTGCGTCGTTGCTGCATCAACAGGTTTTTTTTTGTTTTTTTTCAGGCTGTGTTCAGGTGTCTGTGTGACCAAACTCTCATGGCGGGGATCGTCCTTCACTCACCCTCTGGTGTTGGAGTGTCCTTCCTGCGTCCGGAGCTGGAGGGGGCCAGGCTGGTGGGGCCCTGCTGGTGGTCTGGAGACTTCACCATGGCAGACATGATGATCTGCTGCCTTGCTGAGGCTGGGTTTGCAGCGCTGCAATGATCCTTGCACTGGAGAGCTGAGAGCAAAGTCATCAGATTAACACGGATCCTCTCTGTTAGACTATTTACTGGTTAAAAACTGGTTCATTGTTTCACAAAATCAAACATTTTCTTCCTCATTAAATGGATTAAACTACATCTGTTTCATTTTTCCAAATCTTCTTGATTTTTAAATTCAATTAATGCAACTTTTTAGCTTCTTGAGTATGTTTATTCTATGGAAGAGGATTAGGGCCACTGGAAAAAAAAAAAGTTTACTGATTTTTAAATTTAATTTTTTAATTCTGACTTTTTTCTCAGAATTCTGACTTTAATCTTAGAATACCTACTCTGCCATCTGCTGGTACATTGCAAAAAATCTAAATCTAGACATGTCATTTTTTTTCTTAAAATAAGTGCATTTGTTCTTGGATTGAGGAGGTAAAAGAGACATTTTGCCAATGAAACAAGACAATTTACATTTAAAATAAGAAAACACAATTGCATTGTCTTATTTGAAGTGCATATTATCTAATTATCTTATTTTAAGAGTAAAATTACTCATTCCATTGGCAAATTATCTCATTTAACTACTCAAATTAAGGGTGAATACACTCAACTTAGGAAATTTTTACTTATTTCTAGATCATTTTTGCAGTGTACGCTCTTCTTAATGTAAAGAACAAAAATGCCATATCTAAGATTATTAAGGTGTGCAGTAAGATCACGGGTGTTCAACAGAAAAACATGACTGAAATGTATTAAGATCAGGTAGTCAGGAAGGCTGAGTCCATTTTGGATAATTATACCCGTCCCCTAC